ACAGTAATACTGATAAAGGTAAGGCGTTAACTGATTCTGAGAAGCAAAAATCTCAAACTCCTTGTTTAGAAATAGATTATATTGATGCTGGAATACTGAAAATACTCGAAAATGATCGAAAGGACAATGAGCTTGCTGAAAAAATATTGAAGTTTATTGCTAATAAATGGACAGACATTCACAAAGGTTTGCGTACTGAGCGTAAAAAGCTGTAATTTAAAATATATCTCAAATAGCTACAATTCGTAGACTATATTTTTCAAAGCTCCAAAAGTTAGCCTTGAAATTTATTCAAATTTATCGAGACCAGATAAAATGAAAGATGAATAAGAGCGATACTTATGATACATTAAACTTTTTTACAGCAGTTTTTACTCATTTTACTTATCGATATATGAAACAATTAACGAATCAAACGGGTCTTCAAAGCGATATTTATTGCAATTTACGACCTTCAAAACCGAAATACCAAAAAAACTGGAACTTTACAGTAATTATTGAATATTTAAATAATTAGGTGTCAAATCTTGATACAATAAGACAAACGGCATGTTAGTCTTAAAATTCTAAAATGTTTTTGAGAAATATTATAATTTATCAACTTTCGACAACAAATTTGTTTTGTTCCACAACAGATTTGTATCACGAATCAAAATTGTCCATCGATCTAATTATACGATTATAATTTAGAATTATGTTAGATTAATATCGTATTAACTTTAAACATTACTTAATGATCTAGAGGACGAAGCAACAAAATATAACACAAATAAAAAAAGAGACCAATGGAACAAATAAATATTCGAAAATGACTTTCAAATCTTGCACTTATCAGCGTAGGATTAGATTACTGTATACTTAGTGATCTATTAGAATGAAGCCACTCGTATAATTGCGGTCGAACTTCACTTTCAGATTAGTTCGTTTGATCGTACAATTATGTGCATAATTAAAGATAGCAACTTTAAATAATAAAAAATATTTCAGCAGTGAATAGTGCAAAAATGAACCAGGATCGTTTCGAAATTTTGAATTTTGTTCATTTAACGTAATATTATTTTTAACTAAACAGACAACATAAAATAATTTATTATATTTATTCGGTGGTAAGATACTACGGAACATGTAAACATTTTATTGGAAATGAATGTTGACGAAATGTGACGGTTCAATGTTCATATTAAGAAGCTAATTGTTGAAAATTTTGTTTTAGAGAAACGGCTTAAAGAAACACGTTATATTCAATTGAATACTAAGCTAGATATTTTATTCACCGAATCGCCATACGTCTAAGAGTCGAAACCAAGGTTATTTATATATAATAAATGATAAATGAAGCACTTGGGATGCAATTATTATTATAAGTTTTAAACAGATACAATAGAATTATATAGCTATTTAATCCATTTCGATAAATTGGTAGAAAAATAAAACGTCGAAAAGAGGTGCTGGTTAGCGGTTTCGATAGAGCAGACAAAGAATACTTTTAGAAAGACTGAAATCAGAGGGATCGAGAGAGAGAGAGAGAGAGAGAGAGAGAGAGAGAGAGAGAAAGAGAGAAAGAGAGAGAGAGAGAGCGGCAATTCGATCCTTTATTTCGCGATTCGGAACTGATTGAATAAGCGAAAAAAGTGACCGCAAAGTGATTGTTTCCTATCTTGCTTTTGCTTTTTCCACTTATTCAAGATCAGGTTAGATAGAAATAGCTGGCTGTATATAAAGATGAGCCTGGTCCGCAGGCTATATGTAAAACGCTCAGAGGCTTTTTACACGCGGTATCCCATCGAGACATCGGCAATTGTCCAACCTTGCCAGGGAGTCCTAGTTTTATATTTGCGAAACCTTTGCTTTTGTTTCCTTTGTATTTGGGATAGAATAGAATTCATTTTCTCGAGCAGCAGGGTCGTATCGAGCAAAGTCCACTCGAAGTAGAAAAAGTAGAAAAAGGCCATCGTTTTTCGCCGAATAAAAATAGAATATTATTCGAAGCATGGTAGGAATCAATAAAGTTGACCAGCTTCCGCGGGAAGCGGGATTGTCCATAACGGCGAAAAATCAATAGCCACTCGGCAGTGCCCCGGTGCAGTGGATTGACAGGTACGTACGCGCGCCGGGCAGCAACGCGCAGGAACTGCGCAAAAAAATCAATCGAGAAAGTTCGCCTTGAGCACAGCGCTGCGCGCAACGCGGAGGGACACAGCGGCGGCATTGCCGCTCGGAAAACAAGTAACCAATGGGCAACTCGGCCCGCCGCGGCTCGCTCTTTATTTCGAGGCTGTGCCGGGCTGCGCTCGCAAGGACAAAGGAGCTCCGCCACTGTCTTTTCGCCACGCTCTACTCCAGATCCCGTTATAGCGGCCACGCGCGCGCGACGTAAATGTACACGACAAAAGCGCGCGATCGCGCGCTCCAGCGAGGCAGCAGCGATTGCCCGTGCCGGAGAGGTCGATGTCCGCTCTGCGCGCGCGGGAGTCAGCGGCGACCACGACGCGCGCGCCTCGCGAATCCTACGTGTATACCTATATACTGACCTGTGTGCCCGCAAGAGCTAGCGAGCGAGCTTTCGCTTCGTCGCCAGCGTGTCCAGTCATCCTGCTTCGAGCTTCTCATTTGCCCAACCACCGAATTATTCCGTTACTTTTCTTCTTCCAAAGACACTGCCCACGGCTTTCTAGTATACAGCCACTCAGCTGATTCGAAGTACAGAGGCGCCCATATAAACGCATTAAACGAAAGCCGTTAGCCAAGGCGTTAAGGCGTTGCGCGCGCAAGGAAACGATTTTCGCGTACTTAGCGCCCGGGGCTAGCTGCCCGTAAGCACGCACAGTCTCTTTCTCTTAAAGACAATACAGCCCATTATTCTTTCCGCTCTCTTTTCGCAAAAAGCGCTGCGCAGCCTATAGCTATATCAACTCGCAAGGCAGCACAAGGTAGGAAAGATGGCCCCGTCAATGAAATAACCGGGGAGAAAACAAGGCGTACCCCCCCCCCCCCCCCCCCCCCCCCCACCACCCCGCCATGATTAGATGCAACTGCGCGTGTAAGGAGAGAGAGAGAGAGAGAGAGAGAGTAAGCTCGCAGTACGTGCAGTGGCTACGAAACTCGACTCGACGTACGCTATGCAGATGTCAAGTTCGTTTGCTCTGCGCTTCTGAAGGATGCCCGGTACGACAATGGCAAATAATGGAGCTGCACACAGCTGACATTCGAATGAGGCTCGAGGAAAATTAAAGAATTTCCTGGAAGTGCAAGCTCCTTCGGTTAGTCTGACCGTCGATGTTGCAACAACTTGGACATCGACGCTGGCAGAGATGTTTTATCGCGTTCCTTTACGCGAGCCTCTTCCGCTCCATTCAAATCCAAAGCACACCGCGAGAAATTAAAAATGGGAAATGATTGTTTTTTTATATAAGAAAGCCAATCGGAGCAGCTCGCGGCTCGCGGCGCGCGGCTGAATAGGAACCGGAACCCCGGACGGTCCGTGCGTGGAATATCGACCGCGCGCGTTCGCCTTCCACGCATGTGAAGCAGCAGCGCTTTTATAATACGAAACTGCGACTGGCACCTGAGCCGCACTGGCTCCGTTGCAATTATCTGGAGGCATTGTCTCTCAGTCTCCGGTTTTACGCGTGTTTCGTCCAACCCGTTCAAAGAAGATGCCACCCACGAAACGGCTCGTTTCTCTAATAGCGAAATAAATGACAATTGCAAGCTCTATCCGCAACATGGTATAACTCGGCGAATGATGTACGGGCGAAGCAACGAATTTATTATATCGAGCAGAATTGCGCAGGCGTCGCATCGTTCACTCTCTCAACCCCCATATAAGACTCGGGGCTTTGGCGTGCGGTGTATTCCATTAACTGGCGGACAATGCGACTAGTGGCCGCGCGTAATTAAGGAGCAAAACGGCTAGGGGCAATCGCAAGTTTTTTCGTCTGCGCTCCTCAGCAGCCCATCTCGATTGTAAAGAAGAGGTCGAGTTCTTGATAGCTTTGAAGAGTCTTCAGGGCTTTCAAAGGCTTTCGGACGTTCAAAAAAAATCGATTGCTGCTTATTTTTAGACAATCTTTCCTTTTCCGATTTTTATTGATATATTTTTGCAATGAAGCGTATATTTCGTTGCCTTAATCTTGGATCAATTGAAACTTTCATCAGCCTCGGAAATTCATCAAAGAGCGTTATATACAAACAGTAAAAGTAATGTACATTAAAAGTGTTTATTAAAATGTTAATAATGATCATATACTGTAGGAACTACGATTTTTTTCTAGAAATACTCTAGTTTTCAAGGACTAAAATTTTGTTCTTTGATGTCAGCGAAATATTTGATATACCGATATATTAAAATATATGATAACGAAATTTGTATTATGAATGCTGCGTTACTCGTGGAAGAAAAAAATGCGGCAATAGTATTAAAATATACAACGTTTACGGTTTATAAAGTATGAGCGAAACGAGAATATTTAACTCGCGTAATTTGATAGATTGCCCAACGAAATTTTAAGACCTTTAGTTGGAAAATTTCTAATGAAAAATAAAGATAGTGCACCAGTTGTAATTTTCCTGTCTAACCTGATATGTTCTTCATCCAAGTAAGCAATAATCCATGTGATTATATAAGTAGATTCTATTTAAATTCATGAAAAACTTCATGGGAAATATGCTTGTCGCTGTTTCGTGACATTATCTTTAATAAACTGGAATTTTACTTGCACTAGAGGTTAAACGTTGTCTGATCGACGTGTATAGGAGCAAGTAAAAGACCCCGTTCAGAAGAAACTGTAACGACATCTATCTTACGCTCTTATCTCGAGAGAACCAACTTTACCGACAATTTTAAACTTACGAAAACTTGCAGTTAACAACTTAAATTATTGTTACTTTTAGATCTTTTATGATATAAGTTAATGTGTACAATAGTGTATAAGTGTTTGTACTGATATTTCAATCAGTAATAAATAACTTTTATTTATTAATAAGTGTAAAATTATTTACTACAACATAAAAGGAACATCCATGTTCTTTTTTCCATACCCAATGTAGAGGAAACCATGATGTGGAGTACTTATTTTGTGATAAAATACCATTCCCGGCCAATACAAACTATGCAATATTGCTAAACGACCCCCTTGAAAAAATTGGAGACTCCAGCATCCTTGAAGAGCAAGACAAAAACAGTATCAACAACCAATAAACTATATTACTACTTATGCAGTATCACAAAAGAAATTCAAATAAAAGAAATATGTATTTAAGTAACAACGGAAAAGAATGCAAAATGACGTGATCAAGAAATTATATGAAAAACATAAAACAATATATGAAAAATTTAGTTATCTGTAAAAGGAAAAATTAATTACTGTGAATAAAGGGAAGGTAAATGTTACCTGTAGGAACATCTTCTTCCGCGGTATCCAAAAAATCAAACGCGTAATTATAATCCTGCCTAGTACGTAAATTAGCATTCCATTTATTTTGCGGTAACCTTGCATGCAAATAAGACTTTAGTTGTGACGCTTCGTTGTATTGCAAGCCTTCAAAGCTCGAGTTTTCAATAATTTTGCCTTCTGCAGTTTTCAACCATCCACCTCTGGGAATGATAGCTCCATCATTGTTGATCAAGTATACAGTAGCAGCAAGACGATCTTCTTCTTTGAGATGTTTCACGACTGGTCCCTTTGAATATACATTTTATATTGGAGAGCAAATATCAGCTTCTTTCATTTTATTAACCTACATCTTGAAAACGTTCCGCATCATCATTAGGCGGATAAGGTGGATTAGCGTCGTATATGTTCGTTTGTATTGATGGGTCGCCTTCGAAATTGGTAACGGCTAAAGGGGTCAACAAAATCGCGCATTTACTAGGTTCAGGCATCAGTAACCAAGTTAAACCATCCATACTGTAGAAAGAGTACGATGCGGGTGAAGTCATTTTTATACAATACTTTCGGAAGTAAAAATAAAAGCACCTGTAAAAGTATGTTTGTCCCTCTAAACACTCTTTCTGATATCCATATGCTATGTGATAATCATTTTTAGTTCCACTGATTTTTCCCCAGTAATAACATTTCTTAAAGTGATTTTCATGCTGTAAAATAAGTAATGAATTTTGCAACAATTGAGACTTTTCAACACCTACGCAGAATCCAGCATGACCAAAAATATCCAAACTCTCTAACAGTTTTAGGCAATCCATAAATAAGTGATGATAGATTTATGTTTTCTTAGTTTCACAAAATGAATTTTTGTAAATATTTTTGAAATCACATATCTGAAGTAAGCTTACTAAACAAACGAAAAATTACTTATAAATCCGACAGGTTATTGTCGCATTTGTCAGTAGTATAATTTAATATAATTAGATTATATTTTTTTAGGGCAGAAATTATAGAATTCAGTTTAGATTCCAAGTTCCTATATTTTTATGTAGAATTATAAGCAACTTTAAACAGTAAAATTATTATAAATGGAGATTTGAATAAATTTGTATTCTAAAATATGAAGATAAATAAAAAAGAATAATTCGCAATAATGAATTCTGTACACATAATACTTATTCTTTATCTAAAATGACTTGCATAAAAGTTTCAAAATATCAATGTGACTCATGTCACCGTAGATTTAGTGAATGGATTTTGTCAAATTCCATTAAAATTGATTTCTACATATAGGGCAAGTCGACTTGTGACTCGTATTGAACCACTTGAACTGAAAAGAATAAATTTAATCAGTTACTAGAACGATCATTTATATATGTCAAAGTAAAACTTTTGAAACTTACAAGACAAGGTTTGTGGAACTTTTTGCGACAAGTGCGACAAGACAGTTTTGGTATTTGATAGGTACTTATGTGGAAAATACTAAAACAAATGTAACATTCCTCGACACCTGCAAATTTTTTATCAAGATTTTGCTTCCATAACATTAAACCATCCCAAATGGAACCGTTCTGAAAAATACAATTAAGTATTCATTTTAATTCTTAATGTATAATTAAATTATAGTTATTCGATATAATTATATAATTTTTCAACGCAGAAAATATAAAATAAGTAGAAATAAATACAGTGCGTTTCATAACTATAGGAACACCTTCGTGTTATGTGGTATAAGTAGATTATGTTTCGTAAAATTCTATAAACATCCACTAAAACTTTTTTTTCGTCTTACATATCCAACATAAAAGAAATTCATTGGTTTATGGTATCAGAAGCGACATAAATAATTTTTTGAATCAGTCATTTATTACAAAAAAGTCTAAAGTATTATAGATTTTGTTGTCTCATAATTATAGAAACACTAAATATTTCCATTTTTTCAAGGAAATAACTAATTATATTAAATATTCATATCAGTTATTTATAAAATAATACAAATTCAATTAAACTCAACATTTCATTTATTTGAACATATTGATTGAACAAATTAATTGTATTCAATACTTTGTATCCACCATTCATTTAGATATCTTCAAATTAGGTGCAAGCAAGCGACTATGCATACTGACCATTTTTTTTTGCAATTACTTGCATGTAACTGATATTGTAATGTACATATAAAAATTTATTTTGTCTATGCATTTATATTTTTGAACGTTCACGTCACATTTGTTGATGTTATGCCGATGTTTATAATGTAGTCATTTCCTATATCAGTCGAGTCGCTGCAGTCGACGCATATGGTTTGGTATAATGGATCTCATTTAAATGAAGTTCAATACATATACTGTTATCTAAATCATTTTTATTGAAAAATGAAATCCGACGTATACAATAATCGCAAACATAATGCCAAGAGGCAAGTATTTAATAGATCAAGAAAAGGGTAAAATCTAAGCATTTCGAGGATCTGTATTAAGTTTGAGAAAGATATTACAAAAATTGAAAAGATCAGTCAAAGTTATCCAAAATTTTTTGAAGAACCCTGTAATTTATGGTAGTAAAAATACTGACGGATCAAAAAAAAAGTCACGTCTTGCTTGAAACATTAAATTATTAACGCAGTTAGTAATTCAACAGAAAATTTAAATCCGATAAAAAATCTTTTAATAGTAAAAGTTTCACGATCCACATACATCGAGTTGTACAACAATCTCAAAATATTACAAGATAGAATATGACAAAAGTCCAAGGTTATTGCCGCGCCACAAAGAAGTAAGCTTAAATTTTGCTAGATTGAATATAAATGCTAACTGGAAAATGGTAAATTCATATGATTTTTTAATCCAAAGTAAATTTTAATTATTTATAATTTTGAAGGTAATTTTCTCTGATGAAAACAAATTTAACCTTGATGATCTAGATTGTAATCATTCATACTGGAGGAATTTACGCAAAAACCCAAATACTTTTTTTGTAGAAATTTTAGTGGCGAAAGCTTGATGGTGTAGGAAACTTTTAGTTCCCTTCAAACATTGTCTTTGTTGTTTCCATCGTATAAAATGAATACTGCAGAGTACATTCACGTATTAGCAGACAATTGATTACCGTATCTGGACAACAATGAACAATTAGAGCTAATTTTTCAGTAAGACCATGTAGCTATACATGTAAGTGGAGAAACCAAAACGTGGTGTAATGATAATGACAGTTTTAAATTGACCTAGATATGTTTTTTCACTATTTTTTGGTAAAAAATCTGTTAAATTTAATGTTCCAAGCAAAATTTTTAATTTTGAGTTCGCATTCGTATTTAACATACCCAAAACCATAAGGATCGGTACCTTGGATCAATTTATTGTTTCGTTTTACACATGAATTTTGCGACCAAAAACATGTTCAAAAAATGATGTCCATGATCGTCAATAGGTTAACCTTTTGACTGCGGCGCGCTCTCGGACAAGTCCATCTATATGGGTGGCGCGTTTTTCGCTTGTCAGTCGTTGCTATTAGTGAACACTGACAGTGAACAAAACAGTATCCGGAAATTTATTGCCATTCTTAGGGTTAAAAAAATAATGGCAAAGAAATAAAAAATAGAGGGCGTATATATACGCTTTTAGCAGTCAAAAAGTTAAATAAATGATTTAAAAAATTATTTATGTCACTTCTGATACCATGAACTAATCGATTTCTTTAAAGCTATGTACATATATGTAAGACGAAGAAAAAGTTTTAGCGAATGTTTATAGTATTTTACGAAACATAATTTACTTATACCACATAACGCGAAGGTGTTTTTATAGTTATGAAACGGACTGTATATGTAATTGTAATAAATTAAAATAAACCTGATGCGTTAAGAAGATCGACAACTGCATATGACAGTTTCTCCAATTAGGAGTTCCCCCGGCATGTTGTCCAGGTTCAACGATGACAGTTCCAAGGGGATGATTGATTGGCAAAATAATGTTGAGTTCTAATTTTGTATCATCCATTTGATATAGAGATATAACTTCGCGGGCTGCAGGGTGAACTTTGACCTTTTAATGGGCCGTTACCAATTAATGAAAATTCATTGAATTTCTAATTGTACAGAAAAATGTTATAACTAGAAAGATACATACTTGCATATTATCAAAGTTTGTCAATCTATTGTCGCGTAGTTCTTCGTTACACAAAAAGGGACTAACGTAGACAGTTGTAATTTTGTCGACAGCAGCGCTCACCCGACTGTCCGCGGTACTCCACCACTGCCTCACTAGCACTGGTAAGTACCGAAGACAATTGGTATACACCCAACATACCAAGTGATCAAGTCTCCATTCAGTCCAGCTATCTGCAAATTTTATAATTTTAATATTTTATAAACACCATGAATAAAAATAACTAACCAGTGAAATCAAATGAAGGTACTGTGCTGAAAATTTCGGTTAATTTATAATTTTTGTTCTTGGTATCTTGTAGTACTTCTATAGGCATCAATCGGAAAATGTTATTCATTAAACTTGGAAAATAATCATCTCTGTAAAAATGTTTGTTGAGTACAATTTTGGTTCAAGAATAAACTGCTGAATATAGCATGCATTTCACAAAATTAAAGCTAGTATTACTTTAGGATTTCAGCATAATTGCAGCGAAGATCAGCATTAGCTTTGGCACACATGTTTAGCACAAGTCCCCAAGTAAGTAAATAACCAATAGTGTAAGTGTAAGAGTCCGTATGCGGTTGGATTGTACAACTTACGGTATCGCACAGCCTGGAAAACGAAAACTTAAATATGATGTCTGTTGTAGAACATATCAAATGTATAAATTGAAGTATCCATACTTAAAGTCCATTAATATTGTATTGACAACAGTTTGAGCCGTTTTTAAAATTTGTTCAAACTTGCAAATGTTCAATGATTTGATCTCATAATCTTCTTCAATGATGATAGCACTATCTCTTTTGACAAACACTTCTACGATATTGTTTAGTGCAATATATGATCCCAATTGTAAACTTAATATATGACAATGTATTAATTTCAATAACAGTTGCAATGTTTGCTCTTCTGACTTGTTTGAACTTTTATACTCAGATAATTCCATTTTAATAATCGGCTCGTCGAAAAATTTCAATGACTTTCCAAGAAAATTCAAAAGTATTATTGAAACGATCGGCATGTCTTTTTCCTTATATAACTCTGTTAGGAATATTCAATGAATTAGACGAAAGTGACAAAAATCTGTTTTCATTAACTTTACAAATTATTTACCTGCAAATGTCATCCAAGTATTGAAAATTTCGGATTGTAAGTCATTAGAGAAAACATTTTTCCATTCCTCGAATAAAGATGGCGGCAATTCTTCTATAGGTGTTTTAGCATATTCATTCATGATTTGTTGTATAGCAGAATAAAGTTTATTGACACCAACGATTAACGCTCGTACCTGGAAAAAAATTAAAGCACTAAAGTATTGAGTAGCAAATTTCATTCACTGAAAATCAAAATATTTATAAACCTTAACATTCTTATAATGTTCAATTGATTTTTTTACAGATAAACTCCAGGACGCAAGACATATTTCTATTACGTCCCATTGAGGAAGGGTGAGCTTTTTTGGAACAGTAGTTACGCATTTTGTAAAAAACGAAATTATTTCTAGTGGCATAACAAAGTTTTTCCACTCTACGTTGTGGACATCACTACAAATTAAAAAAGTAAATAAATGAAGATATTATAATTTTGTGAAACATTTATATTTACCAATCCAAAAGTAAAGTTAATGGTTTAGATTTTTGTCGTTTTGTTATTCTTTCAAAAACTTCTCCAAGTAGTGTAATTTCATCTTCGTTAAATTGCATTTTAGCTAAAAATATTTTGTAGAAATCACTACTATCATCTGGAAATGATTTAATTTTTTCCAGATTAGGACAATCATTCAGCACCTAAAATTGTAAGCTTATATTAATTACATATTGATTTTTATTTATATAATGTAATAACAGTTACTAAACCTGAGTACACTGTAAAAATATCCCGATATTATTGGAAGTATTTGTTGTTAGCAAAGCATTATCTTCGAACAACTTTGACAATTCATTTTTGGGAGTGAAAAAGTTGTAGTAGAATTTGAGAACATTAGGATAGATTCCACCATATGATAACAACAGTCTAAAATAAAAATTAATATATACTCAAAAATATTTACAAATAATTGCATTTAATAATTCCTACTTCGCACAAATGTAACTTACTGATAAATATCTGAAACAACTTTATTGTGAACATCTTCTGATAAGAAAGTTTTCAAAGTATTTAGCTCTTCGTGAAATTTTTTTTGTAAAGCATTCACGTCATTGGAAAATTTTGTCTGAAATGAATAACACATATAATGATCATTATATAATGAATGTTAATGACAACTAGTATTATTTAAAATAGTATTTTTGTACTTACAGAATTATAATGCTTTAAATACATTTCACCTAATGTCGCTACAAATACTAGTTCAATGAGAATATTTGATATTTCAGGAAAGTCAGCAGTGTTTGCTAATAATTTATTAACAATTTTTGTACTAGCTGCAGCCCATTTTAAACATTTATAAGTATCATCGTGAAAATTATCACTAGATAAATCAACATCGAACAAACTGTCAAACATTTGAGCTTTTTGCGTTAAAGTTGATGCATAAAGATTTCCGGTAATTAATTCGCCATAAAATACAATTCCAAAAACATTTTTCATCCATTTTTGTATTTCTAATTCTATCATAAAAGTAACAACAAGTTTTTGGGAATAACGAGGTTTAGTTTGAATAAGTGCGTTGATGAAGCTTGTTGATAATTTTATTAATGAATCTTTGAAAATATCGTTTCTAAAAATAAAGAAGAAGCATATAAAAAAGGTATTGAATGTCAAAATATATTTTTAAAATATTGAAATCACGATTGATTTCGAAATTATCTTTGTCTGACTTACGTTTGCAACATCTTCTCCCATATTAAGGATGCAAAATATTTGACATGACTTGCAAATGAAGCCGGAGAAAATCTGTTACTCAGTTTCAAAATACCTTTAGTCCAAGTTTCTTCAACAATCTTTACTGTAAGGGATTCGCCATCTTCTTCGCTTCGTTCTGTAATGTCACGCATATGTAGCCGGAATAATGCTTTTAACAATTTGAGTTCTCCTGGATTGTATTCTTTTTGAGTCCAGCTTAAACTTGTTAAGCGCGAGAGTAAATTGGCGATACGATGAACATATTTTTCTTTATTCCATGGCATTCGGTCTACCATTAAACTCAGTAGTGATGACATTCCAACTATAGCTTCGTAGCTTACAAACAATTCTGCAACAAGCATAAATTAATTTTTTACAAAATCTACTATGACGGTGTTGATAAAGCATTGGCAAGAAATTACCTCCATTTTCGGCAGGTTCAAAGGCTTGCAAGAACATCTTTTCATCAATATCTGTAAAGTCTAAGGAAGACAAAACATCTTGAGCTGTAAGAACTAAAGTATTTGTAATTACATCTTGCTTGCACCAATTTCGTATAACGTTGTCGTCTTCGTATTTTTTCATTAATGCATATTGTACAGCAATCTTCAAGATATTTATATTTTCGATCTGAAATAAAACGATGTGTACTTTTGTTTTCTTTCTTAATGAATGTAATAAAAAAATTCTCAATTTAAGAAATGTCGAAGTTATACCTCTTGGAAAGATTGTAATACAACTTTCTTTTCTTCATTACACATGTGTGACATAATGCTAAATATCAAATTGATCAAAGCTTCTATTTCTTCGTTTTCGATTGTCATCAATGTTTTAAGATTCTGATTGTAAAATTGCAACAGACTTCCACTTTCGTCATATGCCTTAGCCAAAGCAGTAAATAATTCTTTACTTTCATTACCCGTTATGATCTTTACTAAGTTAATAACTTTGTGCTCAAAAGGTTTGTCCATAATCTTCTTGAAATAGCTTACACATAATTTAATAACAAATTGCTGAAGTTCTTTAATGAAAGCAGCATTGTCGTCATCGGAAACAATCGTTGGTAATGATAATGAAGGAGATGTCGGCTGTATATCAGATTCTGGAGCAGAATCAGAAAACTTTACTTTCATATTACGTCGACTATGATAAGGTGCATTTTTCAAATACATCAATAGTTCGGCTATATTTATGACGATTGAACTTATTGTTGTACCATAATTATCATTAGAATTATCGACGATACGATTGAAAATAGCAATCAAGTCAAACCAAAATATTTTCATTAATTTTACGTAAGTCGGATACTCCGATTTATTGCTGTTTTTACTCCAATATCGTAGTAAATGAGAAAGCTCGCAAAAGAAAATGGATCTCACTGATTGATTTTCGCAAAGACAAGATTCTATCAAAGGCATAAGCTGAAATAAACATGAAAATTTATAGGTATTATTTCTACAAATGTCATTAGGTTTCATGAAATATGTTACGTATCACACGTGATTAATCAAGTTTAATATATATATATAAAATAAAAATTAAAAAAAATTTAATTTACCTCTTCTTTGAGTAAGACTATACAAAAATTTTCATTGGTACTGGATACCAATATAGCATATCTAAAGCATTCAAAAAATGAAGTCACCACGGCAAATGTTTCTGAGCGACTTAATTTTACGCTCTTTGCTGAGAATCTAAATGATAAATAATTATTTGAATCTTAGAGCATACAAATGTGTGAGAACTATTTTTATAGCCATACCCTTGACGCATATTGTCAAAAAAATTCTTTAATAAAATTTCTTTGTTGATTTCAAATTTAGTGAACTGACTGAGAAATGGAAGTAAATTTGGATAAACTACAGTTGCACAACATTGACCACCATTTTTTAACACCTTCCACAATTTAGACAGTACTAATTTTTCAACATTGACAACTTTCTGCCAATCCTTGAAATAATAAATAATAATTTTTATTTATAATTTTGATAAAAACTTGAGTAAAAATTTTGAATAATAATTACAAAATATTTGATTTTATACCTCGATTTTATTTATTGCCACCAACAGAGATTCCCAAACTGTAGTAAGTAAAGCTGGTTCAGTTTCATCTAAACTACTCATTATAGTTGTCAAAACTTTTCTTTTCTCCTCATTTACAATGTTATTAGCATAACAAATCAAAGCAGTGAGTGCATTGAAAAATGCAGTTTTGGTTGCAGGAACCTCATTTTTAGCCAATTTCCAAAATTTATTACTACTTATTAACTTTTTGTGATATTCGGCAGTATTTTCAGTATCAATAGTTTTCAAAATAAAACTATAAGCTTGTAAGCTAGATGTTACTAATCTCTGATATTTTGCTTCCAATTCTTCTGGTGTCAAAGATCTACAAAAATATATGGATTGGATTATTAAATATCAATTGATGTTGATTGGTAAAAAATTACTCTGATCAAATATTTGTCTTTCGTGATGGCAAAATTGAAATTCATAATATACATGTATATATAAACTTAATACTTACTTGTTTGTAGCAAATGATTGTGGACTCAAATTAATAATATTATCACAAATATACTCAAGGATTTCCTTTCGACAATGTATCAATGCAGACTCAAATTTATGTTGTGGAAAAGTTGTCTTAAACAAGTAATTACCAACAATATAACAAAAATAAATATATGACATTTTAAATTATTAAAAAAGATTACATTAAAACAGTTAGCAGCAGCTGAAGCTGCTGGTGGATACATGTCATACTGCGATACAAACCATGGTCCAGCCAGTTGTTTCAAACATACAGCAATTAATTTGCCAACTTTTTTAATTAAAGCTGCATGAGCTAATTGAGCAGCTTCTCTTACTCTGTGATCTAGATCTGTAGAAAGTAGACTATATAAGTGTGGCCAGCATGGGAGTACTGCCTCTACAGTCGCTAATTCTGAATTTGTACACAATTCCGAAAACTCTACCAATGCCTATAAAAAAAGTTTCATTTCTAATTATTTTTAAATTTAATATGATATAACTTATTTTTCTACTGCAACTTGAAGATTTAAGATCTTGCCATTTCAATATGAAAATGTAATAAAGATAAATTGAACAAATCGTGCTACTGTCTTTTGTAATAATATTACAAAAATCAAATCTTGAGTTAGATTGATACTATAATATAAAATATTAAGGCATCTTACCTTATATTTTGTTGTAGCATCTTTCTTATTCATTTTTTTAAACACCACTTGAAAAGTTGGATCGATATCATTTATTGCACTATTGTTAGCAATAGAGAGACCAGGTAAGAAAGGTACATATCCACCATCTTTTGCTGCTGTAAAACCAACAAAACCTGGAGCAGATGCTCCTAAAAGTTCAGCACTTCGATTGCTATTTGACGGCTGAAAATGTACGTAAAAATTTCTTTTTCAATAAGAGTAAAAGTTTATTGAGTTTTGTAGGTTATATATAACAAATGCCATATTTATCAGCAATAAACACGTGCCCGAGCATTGTTTTTCGTACGTTGTCCTTTATTCTTTCCCATTATTATGACTTTATTTAGGCAAATAACTAACTCCAATACTTATTTTTTACATTGACAACTTTGACCAGATGATGACCCTCGGTCTCAATGATATCTTGATTTTAGAGACAATGCCAGTGCAACAGCTGATTGCTATGAAGCTTTTAAAATCAGACGCATGGTGTGTATACATATATATATATATATATATATATATTGCAAATACCATATACACATTCATATATATGTATTTACACGTACACATTGTGTCAGTTATATAGCCCAAGATATCGTAAATTATTTAAAATTAAAAAATTATTAAAAGTTAAGTGATATAACAATATGTAAATATTTATGAATGAAGGAAACCTTCATATATATAGAAATAAAATCATATGTATTTTGCAATAAAATAATTATTTTAAATAATGATAATAATGTAATTATATAGAAAAATATGATTTATTATCCAAACAATCTTCTAGCAGAATTCATTTCAACTAGTAACATAACAATTTTTAAGTCTCTCATCTATCATTATTTATGTATTATATAAACTATTTATAACTAATTATTTTTATATTTAACAGCAATTAATTTGGCATAAGTGTATATATAGTATATAACGTAATGTAACATATATATTATGAGTAGAAACGCAATCATTTATATACATACAATGTACAGTCCTGCTTAACCCAGTAATTAAGGCCCAGGCCAAAACTGGATTAGATTATTAGATAGCATCAAACTATTTGTTGGAAACGAGATATAATGAAAAAAAAAGTATCCGTGTTTTTCCCGTAGAATATGGATTGGCGTGATCAGATTTGCAAAAAATTAACTTTTTTGGCAATTTATTTAAGTAATTTTTTATAAACAATTGCAAAAGATAAAAGAATAAACATTATGGGTTATTTTTACTTTCGTCGAGAAAAAACGCGTACATAATAAGAAAAATAGTCTTGGTTTATGAGAGGTATCAGAACAATGTTTATTAACAATTTTAATGAAAAAGCACTTTATTTAGTATTTGTTTATATCTTTTTTTCTAGTTCCCGTATCGAGATTGTTTGCAGAAATTAATAAATAAATATTAAAAATTATAAACGGTTATATACTGGATAAATGAATGGTTTTGATAATGGTTATACTGGATAAAGAAGACAGTACATATAATTATATTAATAGTTTTTAACATTTCTGCAAACAATGAAAATTATTGTTGTTCAAATAAATAAATTTAATTTCGAAAGATATTGAACCTCGTTAAAAATTTTAACAGAAATCTAGTATTGTAAGTCTTATCTCGATACTATAATTAGAAACAAATAAAGATGTAAGTAAATAAGTAAATAAAATAGTTTTTTGATTCAAATTATTAATAAACAATGTTCCGATACCATTCATAAACTAAAACTATTTTTCTCATTATTAATAGTATGAATTCCAGATACCCTATCTAGAAACACTCTGATTGTAATTTACAATGCCGTCCATGTGTATCGGCAATCCAGGCATATATGGAATAACTCCTTCCCTTATTTCAGGATTTACTGGCCTTCTTGAGTCTACTGATATCCAGGGCAATTCCAACTCTCCGCCATTTGCTAATGCAACTGAATGAATAACATTCCGGTTGAAATATTTGAAAACGAAGAGTAAGTCGTGGAACAATTCAATATTAAATTAAATAATTCACCTAGGATGTGTTTGCTAGTAATTCCTTTCTTTGTAATCGTTTCTTACATTGAATCAATTGACTAATGGAATACTAAAGCTTGCCTCTCCACAATAGGTAACTTTGTGTTAGTTAATAATAAGAAAGCTACAACATAAAATTATTATTGTTAGTGTTAAATATGAATTGATATGGATGTAACAATTTTTATTTTAAGCAATTTACTTGTAGTATTGCTTTGAGTTTTTCTCACATACAATTCTTTCCGTAGCTTCTTTACGTAGCTATTTCCGTTCTTTGATTTTTATCGTTAAATTAACTATAAACAACCCAGTTTTCGAAATGAACAATATGTATTGGTCCCTTGGTTCTCTTGTGTACGATGGAGAAAATCATTGATTCGGATACGACATGAAGAAGATACAAATTGAGATGATCTATAAATAATTAAACAAGATTTTGAGTAAACTTCAATAGTTTTCGCAAAGTCCTTTTTATTATAGATGTTATAAATTTACTTTTATAATCATCACCTATTCCTTGAGTCACGACAGCAACCAGATTTAGATTCATATATTTGTATAAAACTGACCGATCACTTAACACTTGACCTTGCGTGTGAACACGTTCGATTGAACTTTTTGAGACGACATGTGTTATCCGTTGTGTCTTTGGCGAGAAAACTAATTCCCATACCTGAACGAAGGCAATGAATTTTGAAAATATATCACAATCTTTGTGGAAGCTTTTAAGCTTTTAAATAGTTTTACACACCTTGTGAGCGATTAGATTCTGCGAGTTGCTATAAGTAAGTGAGTATCCGGACAATACACCAGTCTTTCTGTCGGCAGTGAAGATGTAAGTAGTATGTACGTCCAGCAGAAGTTGCAACAGCGCTTGCTCTTTCTGGGAAGACGTGTGCTCGGTCGTGCTCATCCAAAATAACTATACCACGAAAGGTATCGGTTAATGCATGTACCAAAATTGACTGCTTTGGTAATACAAATTTGTCAGTCTATCCATTGGCTGTCCGTTTATTGGGTTGAAAGTGTACATCATTCCATTTCGAGTGGTCTACGAAGTTGATAATACTCTTAATTTTACGTCGACTTTATAGGTCGCGATTGAAAAAGCGGATAATATTAAAACTTACGTTATCTGTTGCAAGCAATGCGCACTGAGGTGAATGTGGAAAGTGCCTACTTCCACGTTGAACATACAAAACTATCTTGTTAAAATCCTGAGATAAGCCTTTGATGTTATTGACTCGTGATTGCCAAATCATTTCACCTTTCGTTGACTCTATTCCGTACAGCTATAATAAATTGTTAATATAAGTCACACGAAAATTAAAATCAGTTTATCTATCGTTCAAGTTTGATATAACAGTTTCACCTTTCCTGATGATGAAACAGCTATAATCATTTTATGCAAACCAAATTTATCACGAACCAAATCGGCTCGTTGATTTGATTACTGTCGTTCAAAACCCAAAGTTCCTTGCATGAAAACGTTTATCTGGTTTACTTATAGAAGAGAATATAAATCAACAATTTAAATATTAACAACTCAAAAGAATACTGCAATTACTTAAAAATTAAAGCCTAGCGAATACAATACATCAGTTTATTTAGTCAGTCCAACGTTTGACAAAACTAAAACAATTAAATAAATTATACTAATAAAAAATCTATTTGTAAAGAGTTAACATGCTAAGAAAATATTACTATCTAATAATAATTTGACAATACAGTTGATTTTAAGTTGATACTCAAATGCCTGAAAATAATATTTTCAAACGCTTAATAAACATTAGAACACTCACGCTGACAAAACATTTAAGATAAAAATTTCAACTTTTTAAAATCAGACTTTAATAAAAAAAAATCATAATGAAAAATCAAACTCCACACTCAAATGTTCATGTCGCCTACACATATATGCTATTTACATGAACTATCAACATCATAACCGGACATCAACCATTCGTAAAAGAAAGTTAGTTAATATGTTGATTTATTGAATTAGAATAACATGTTTGAAACTTAAAATTGACGGAATTTCATCTAACTGTTGAATAAAACAATTCAAATTATATTGATTGTGCTTGATCACGATCTGACATTGGCAATTCAATAATGTCAACGGCCACAATATTTGCGAGAGCTTCCTTTCTAGACCAGATGATATTTTGTCGGACTAAACTGACAGTATTGTCCTCAGAGGAGAGTAAAAATCTACACGTTTTTCTTTTCGACGCTTTTTGTGACTGATAAGAACAATCGGCCGCAACGATTGTTAAAGTTAAAGTTTCGAATGTTAATTTATTCTTAAAGACAATTGATTGAAGTCATTACCTTGACAACGCAAACACACGCTTTTTTTTTTTTATAAAACAAAACCTAAAGTCAATCAATCGAAAAACCAACGTCAAAGCAACAAGACACAATATGTTGTTCTAATAAATAAAAACGTTTTTCATTCTTAAAACTTATATCTGAGTTTTCGAGTACTTATTGTATTAACGATCGCAGGTTTAAATATAGTGAACTATGCGTTACATAGACTCATTTTTCAGATTGAGCTTCATTTATGCTAAATTCAGTTATGGTAATTCTAGTAATCTAAAAACAAATTTCATTTATTTTAAAATATGTAATATTTATTGGAATCAAATAAGTAAATATTTCTTGCATCGCTAGATTCGTATATTCGTTTCTTACGATATGATTACTCTAATACTACTTTTTTGCTATCTAAATTAGTAACATACAAAAAGTCTCTCCATCCATATTTCGTGAAATAATTTTAGGGCTTTTCTCAAATAATACCAAGCGCTTTCTGTTATTACTGACGGCTCTAATAGATATTGCAGATATGTTTCCTGGAAGTATAGTGTAAACTTGTAAGGTCCTTGAGCACCGGCGCCAAATATAGTGTTAATTGTTCATCAATAATCATCCCAAAAACTTTTTTTACATTAGCATACTCATCAATAAGCAATATTCATGAAAATTTGTAAAGTAAATTGTAGACCTGACATTTGAACATTAAATGTGGTACGTTCGGCGCTACAGTTTTAAACAACAGTCACTTTTACTCACTACCGGTAGTGTTGGTACTAAATAATCGAACTAGATATTTTTAGTGATGTTACTACAGTTGCGATTCGCGTCCGTATTCGTCCACATCCATACGTAGCTATGGGACCGGGAGGACTGCAAAGATAGCCCCCGGGTTTTCATGGGAAATTGTTAGCCAAAAAGGGAAAAAGGCATTAATTGCTCTAATTGTCGCTGATGTACGTGGTAATTTCCCATTTGCGATTAATCAAAGGGAAATAGGGGAAAATCGCATTTTTCCGTTTACCTACTCACTAGCTGATTTCTCCAGAATTTATTATTCGATTTTTACGGTTAAGGTCTTAAAATTAAGATTATAATTTCCCACG